AAAATTAAAGGGGTAGACACATTAATTCATTGCCTCATGATAATAAAATTTATTTTATCCATTTTCCTTTCCTTGCAATATGCTCCATCTAGTTAAAAAACATTTGGGTTTTTTCTGTATACCAAGGATAATAACTGCATTAGACAGTAGAGTACAGTACATGAAATGAGCCTTAATCCATAATCTAGATGAATTTCTGTTATAGTTTTGATGAGAACATGTGAGATTTTCTCATAAAGTTATTGAATTGGTTTTATTTCTATTTTGCTGTATATTTACCAAGTTTTTTATTGGCTTAAAGTGTTAATGCATGTACTCGTGCAGATAAAGAAAGTGACATCAAGGTAACAGTTTGATTTGTGTGTTAGTTTGTTGATATCATTAAAGCATTGAACTTTTATATTGATTTGAAAGTTAAAGAAATACATTTCTTCTCCTTGCTGTAGGTTTGGGGTGAAACAGTTACATGGGATGAAGAACGTTTAAATGATGGATCTCAATCAGTGTCGCTGCTGATTCATGTCGTCAATGGTAAATCATCACAGAATAACTGTGAGGAGTTACAACATATCCTGGGAGCTTTCTACTTGTTGGGTGAGCTACAACGACGGATTACAGGACTTGGCAAGAATCTTATGAGGCATTTCTTTGGGTAAGTTGCAAGTTAGAATTTTGAAACCCAAGTGAATGAAACTGTGCTCTGTTAACATTGGCAAATCTTTTAAGAATTTTTTTATTTATTTCTTGCTCACAGTCCAGTTCACAATCACAGCCTGTTTTAATTTCTATGTTCTTGCATTATTGTAGACTTCATAGATATTTGGGACTTTGTTGTGGAAGGGAACATCATAGAATACTGTATATCTGTTACATTGGTAAAATTGGATGAATGACAGTGAATAAAAGGAGTGTGTTTACTCTTGGTTCCGGCCAACCTGTACAGTATTTATTACAACAGGAAAAGGCTTGAAAGAGGGAAAGAAAAATTATTTATGATTATTTTTATGAAAAGAACTCTTGCATCATTCATTATGTTCGTCTTATTCCAAATCCTTGTCTTGCTCTGTAAAGTAGGACCTAAACAACCTCAAGGATGCCTTTTTGTCACATTTAGGCAATTATTTTTAGTTTCTTTGTATTTGGAATGACATTTTCTTTCATGAAGCCTTGTCTCTTACATCCATTTTGCTTTGCGCTGATACCACATTCCTTGGCTGTTCACCTACCTTACTTATTTGTTGTCTTATTTCATTCCATCCATACCCTATACCTGTAGTTGTCTATTGGTAACATAATTATTTTGAATCCTTAATGTTTTATATTTATCTGTATACACCTCATTATTTTTTATACTGAAAGTTCTCTTTCTACCAAACCTCTAAATTTTTTCTTCCTTGCTATCTATCTTTTATTTTTTGTAACTTCTCTCCATTTTGTGTGGGATGGATCAAGAGGTACAGAACCCACAGAGGGAAGGAAATAGTAGGAGAAACAGGTACGAAACAGAGGTATGAATTGAGAGGCTAGGGTAGAGATAAGTACTGTAGAAGTATTCCAAAAAACCTTTATCAGTCATCGGTGTCCTCTTATTCTGTTTGTTCCTTGGTTTATATAATTTTATTTATTAATTTTGTATTTACAGTATTACCCCTCTATACTGAACTTCTATACTGTACATCTACTGAAATTCATTATATACTGAACCCCTCCTCAAATATCTCAAATATAGTGTAATCCAATGGTCTAATGTGACTTAGAAGTAAATCAAATATAATATAAAACTATAAAATAAGAAAAATGAGGAGTGGGAAGTTACTGTAATTCTGTGTGGGGGAGAAGGTAGGTAAGGCAGTTGGGATGGTTGAACTCTACAGAAAATTCCACTCCCATTGCTGGAGGCTCAGTCACCCCTGCGACTCTGTTAAATCATCATTATGTAATTTCACCATAACCCCCATATTATTTAGGTTCATTTGGTGCCTGGTTAATAAAAAAAAAAATCATAAAATAATCAGTTTCCACGACAGAAGAAAATCCATGCTGAAACTCCTATGAATTATTGTGTCATATAACTCATAGTAAATTCCTGGTGCTCTGTTTACATACTGGTAGTGGAAATAGCTGAACACGAAGCCAGCCAGGGAAGGAGTTGTTTATCTAGTACAGGCATACAACTTCTTTTTGTACAATATCTATGTTATTATATTTTTTTATTTACTCTACTGTACTGTTATGTATAATATTTAGTGTTTATTTAAGTCTTGTGTTACCAAGCTATATTTTATATAACAGAAACATCCAGTATTGTGATAATTTATCTGGACTAAATTTACTGAACTTTTTCACATCCTTGTACTGTACAGTACAGTAAGTTCTCGCTTAACGTCGGGGTTACGTTCCTGAAAACGCGACGTTATACGAAACGACGTTAAGCAGATCATTTTTCCGTATAAGCAATAGATAAATACAGTGGTCCCTCGGTTAACGAAATTTCGGTTTACGAATTACCTCCCATAAGGATCTTTAATTCGGTTAACGAACAAAACTTTGATTAACGAAATCCTTACAACAAATACGTTTTGTTGTGAGCATGAGCTGATGCTCCTCCTCCGTTGAAGTTTGCTCCTCCTCCGTTGTTGTTTGCTCCTCGGCTGCCGGCTGTTGTGAAGAAGCTGCTTCTGCCGTCTTGTGACGAACAAATGAATCCAGTGTTGACTGCTTGGTACTGCTTCTCGCCATGGTCCTCGTGCAACAGGGCTATGTCGTATCGGTAGACGCGCGACTTCCGTTCTCATTTGTATATTGTCGCAGGTTGTGGGACATATTTGGATAATTTCTGCAGCCTCTTTGAGTTAGCATTCGTGGGGTTTGGTGTGATGTCTTCAGCAGGACTGTGGTATTGCAGATCTTGGTGAAACTCTTCATATGAGATTTTGAGACGTCCTCAATATACTCGATTCCATCTCCAAACTGAAGATATCCCTATTCCCATTCATTCATTGATCATCTTTCTTGAAACCTTATTGTGGGTGCGATGGCCTATTCTGGATCGTGGTGTTTCCATTCCTTGATGATAAACAATCCTTGAATCGATGACCTTTAGGTGCAATTCCACTGTTGTGTTAGGAGGCAGAAATACAACTTTTACATTGTCATGGAAGTCGTCGAGATTGGGAGGATGAACTGGAGCATTGTCAACGATCAGAAGAATTTGAAAGTCAAGGTTCTTGTCACAGTATTCCTTCATTGCAGGGAGAGCGTAAATGTTTAATCACTGGCTAAATATGGCGCCGGTTATCCATGCCTTTTTGTTTGCCTTGTAAATGACAGGAAGGTAATCCTTAGAGTAACCTTTCAGGGCCCGTGGGTTCGCAGCACGAGAAATCAGCATAGGTTTCAGCTTGAAGTCGCCGGCAGTGTTCGCGCCAATCAGCAGCATCAAACGGTCTTTTGCCGTTTAAAACCTGGTTTCTTTTCTCCTCCTTGGAGATATAGGTCCTCTCAGGCATCCTCTTCCTGGATAATCCATTTGAATTCTGGCGGGAATGTCTCGGCAGGAACCGTATCTGAACTGGCAGCTTCACCAGTCATCTTAATATTTTGGAAGTTATACCTCGCTTAAATCGTTGAAACCAACCTCGGCTGGCTGTAAAGGTCTCTTGTTTCGATCCTTCACCCTCTTCTTCCTTTATGTCGTCAAACAAGGATCTGGCCTTATGCTGGATAACCATAAGGCCTCAGGTGCATTGCGTTGATTCTGGTCCTTCATCCACATAGCCAGCATCTTTTCCACTTTTTCCATCACAGTACTTCTAGTATGAGTTGTTTTAGTTGCACTGAGAGTAGTACCACTTCCAGCACCAACCTTAATCTTGTCAGCGTTGGTCCGGATAGTACGCATCGTTGTGGGGATTAGACCAAGCACAGCGGCTTTGTCCACAACACATTCCCCTTTTTCTAATCGGGTTAATACATCCATTTTCGTAGAAAGGGTAACGGTCTTACGTTGCCTCTTCACTGCACTCGCATCAGTAGCAGTTGATGGGCACTTGGAAGCCATTTTGAATGGTTATAGCAGTTTTAGAGCAAAAGCACTTAAGCACACACGAATGATGTGAAGTCGTAACAGAGACTGGCTTGGCATCGCTTGGGGATGCTGTTACGTTCCGTGAGTGAGGGCATCGTGCCGAACCGAGAGAGCGTAGCGCGGCCAGACAAGAGAGGGTGATACGCCGTAGAAAGAAGTCCGTGACCACGCAAAAAGACGTAGTATCGGATCATCGGGACATTAAATGAATTTTTAGTCTCTAAAGTTTGGCGACGTAGTACCGAAACAACGGTAAGCGGGACGACGTTATACAGGGATGCAATGTACTGTATACCGAACAAAGTTCACGATAGGACGAGTTTTTTAGTTTGTTTTATACCAAAAACTCCCAATACAGTATTAAAATGGCTGCTCACCAATTATTTCGGTATGGAGAAGTGATACTGTACAGAATTTTTTATTTATTTATTTATTTATTTTTATTTATTTATTTTTTGCTATAGAGAATTCACTTTCAAACTTTCTTTATTCCTTTTCATTTGTTACCCAAACAAATCTTATTATTCTCTGCTCATATACCCTACTGTACTGTATATATTATCTTCTCAGTCAGTGTATATGTTATGTATTTTTATTTTGTTTTGTTTTGGTTGGCCTGTTTGTAAGTTATTTCGCAAAATTACCAATATGCATGCCGTGAATTTTGCAAAATAACTGATTTTGCCCCCAAAAATTAACATATATAATCCTTTCCCCATATTTCTCTTCATCTCACATCAGTATTACACATCTACATTCATCTGTTTACTTGTAATAATGCAACTTTCCAGTAACTTAGCATTTTGACTTCAGCTTGTGAATTGTTAAGTTTAGCTAAACCTTCTGCTATGTTTTTAAGTTGAAGATGACATGTTTAAGTTCAAAGTTTTTCTTGGTGTTACAGTATGTGAAGACTGCCACTTATTTCATAATATTAATGCAAAAAATACAGAAAAAAATTTCTTTACATATTATAGACCCATCATCAGCAGTAATGCTGCTGTGAAGGTAGTTGAGCGCAGTGATGGGTATTCAATCAAAGTTACTCAGCCAAAAGGACCTGAAGAAAAAGCTTCTGCAATCCTAGTTTTTGGGCGCTTACAACAGGTTTGTAATTCACATCATAAACAGTCCTGACTTCATATTTGACAATGCGATATGACAGTTTCAGTTGTTTAGGCTTTGTACAGCCTCTTATTGAATTCTCTTGATTTTCTGTTGTCTTTCCTATGCCTCTTTTTGTGTTTTAGATTTAGGGAAACAGAAACCTAATGAAATCCTTTTCTTTCAGACATTTCTCATGCTACATAAAAGCCTTCTATGTATCAAGGTTCACACAGATAGTGCAGATGGCAATGAAGATGATGAAGGTTTATCATTAATGCAACTACTTGGTAAGGAGGTAAGCTGATAAAAATTCTGTCAATAAGTCACATTATAAATGTTTTATTTTATACAAAAGAGTCAAAAGACGTGGAATTCTTCACATATCATGGTTACATGTTTCGTATCAGTCCTCCAGACATACCTTGTGCTCCATCATTTAAATCTTCTACCAGTTACAGAAGCATTATATTCTTTGGTTGTCTGTTCATATGCTAATGCCATTGGTTTCTATTCTGATGATTGATCTTTGCAACTGATGACCAAAATTATTATCATATTGAAATTGTAGATTCCTCCCGTGGTTCCCACGCCACATTAACATATTCTCATGGTTTTATGAGTTTGTACCTTAGTTGTCCTCTTATTGGTTAACAGGTTTCTCATCATTATCTTTTCCATTTAACACTCAGTAGGCTAACATATTTGAACCAAGGATGCCTCCAATAGTTCCTCAGGAGTTAGACCTGATTAAATTATGATCAAAGCTCATAATGTTTATATCTTTCCTGGTACATGGTACATATTCTTCACTCAGAGTGGTTCATTGAGCTTTCTGTATGAAGAGCTCCATAATACAAACTGTATAATTTTTAGTCAACAATCTCTCTTCTCTTTCTCTTCGCTGCAGTGTTGCTTCACTCTCTTTCTTTTACAGGTACTTTAACGGGCAGTGTTCGGTGGATTTGGCATCCTGTGTGCAGTGGGCTCGTAACTCTCGTCTTGCCCGCGGTGCCCACCGTTTCTCTGTGAATGTCGGTCACATGAGAATAACCCGTTATAGTACCTCCTTCTTTCCTCACACAACCAAACTGTGGAATGCTCTGCCTTCTTCTGTGTTTCCATACTTATACAATCTGTCTCACTTTAAAAAGCTGGTTTTCCGGCATCTTCGTGGTGTAGATTAACACAGTATAACCTTTTTCTTCTCTATTTTCAATTTCCTTCTGTTCTTATTTTTTTGCCCCCCAGGCCCCGTTGTGGGTCGTTTGACTTGTGCCCGGGTTAGTTAATTCCCGTAAAAAAAGAAAAAAATTTAGCCAGTCCCAGTATAAAGGAGATTTTTGTGCGTTACTTTGTTGTTACCTAAAATAACTAGAAAATCTCTTTCCAGATCGGTGAGGAATTCACTGAATTGTTGATTAAAGAGTGCCTAGCAGAGGCAGTACCTTGTAGCAGAGCACAACTGGATGAATATGAAGAAGTAAAACGTGCTACTGAGGATTTCCAACAATTTCTTAGTGGAAATGGTGAGACTTTTGGCTTTTCTTTTGGACTAATTTATAAAAATTTAATATTTTACAAAGTACAATACAGTTATTTTATGTGAATTCAGTGAATTTTAGACTTTGATTTTACTTGAGTATTATCTTCTAGATATATTAGACTATTTTGTCCTTCAAATGTAATAAATGCTTTTAACCTAAAGCTTGAATATTCAGTATATTGCATGTGCTCTGAACCCACATTGTTTAGACTTTATTTCTTAGTGGAAGTAATTCTAGAGATGATCAACACCCAGAATATCAAGAAAACTCATGCATGTAATATTACTTTAAATGTCATAGAAGACATTGCTGTATTGCATTCCACTGATTAGATTTGAAGTTTAATCAAAACATAATATTGTACACTTAGGGATATGTTTTGTATATACAGTTAGTCCTCGCTTTACGTCTGGGCTACGTTCCTAAAAACACGACATTATACGAAACAACATTAAGCGGATCAATGTTCCCCATAAGAAATAGATAAAATATGGGAGTTACATTCCTGAGCCTCCCTTTGCCCCATGAAATACAGTACATATACAGAAAATCATTGCCATTTCTATAGTAAATAGTGCATGCATATACAACTACTAAGTTTGTATTGGTACTCACTGATGGGTGGAGGTGGTAGAGTGAGTGTGTGGTGGGTAGTGAAGCAGAGGAGGGGGTTGGCAAGAGGGGAGGAGTATGGCGGTAGCGGAGGAGGAGGGTGGGAGAGGAGGCGGAGGTGAGTCACTAAGACGGCGCCGAGCCGAGAGAGCGTAGTGCGGCCAAACGAGAGAGGGTGATGCGCCGTAGAAAGTAGTCCGTGACGACGCAAAATGACGTAGTATCGGATCAGCCGGGACGTTAAATAAATTTTGGGTCTCTAAAGTTTAGCAACGTAGTACCGAAACAACCTTAACCGGGACGACGTTAAGCGTGAACATACTGTATTGGATTTTTTTAACATCTTATGTACAGTAGCTAAAACAACTATCTGTGCGGGTGGGGGTCGATATGCTCTGAAATTTTATGTGTGACTAGTGACAGCCCTCATATATTGTTTCCCACAAAGTATGCACAGATAGTTGTTTTAGCTATTGTATATACAGTATTTAAATTGTCCAAAGAGTTTCTAAAAATCTCTTCTTATCTGTTGGTTCATGATTTTCATGCTCCATGAACATAGACAGACAACTTTAAACTTCTTAGTGATATAACCTGTATTAATATTGGCATTTTTTTTTACCATGTTATTGCCTTAAGGTAACCAAAACAGTACTATAGTTAGAATGAAGAACAATTTATATTGAGGCAAGGCAACAATTAAACCCTGTCTCAGTGGCCTGTCTTATTTCTGTGCCACTTTGAATATCCATTATATTCTTTGATTACTGTATTTTGGATAAAGTTGAGCATACCCGGTAGTCAAAATATAAGAAAAACTGTCAACCTATGTGTAGGGACTTGAGTTACTGTACTAATATAATAAAATCATATTAATTTAATTTGGTGTAAAGAAACGAGAGCTGACAAGAATGTTTTTTGGAGTTTGGTCGTATGAATGCTCATGAGAGAACTCTTCTGGCTGTGTAGAGGGTAGATCAGCAGCTTACCTCTTCCACCATATGAGGTTGAGTAATGAGCATTATCCATAGTGTACATAAGGCCTCTCCTGCCACATTCACTTTAATTCCCAGGCTGGTGTTTATCAGTCCTTGCACCTCTCATTATCTCTCTTGGATTTAAATGAAATGAACAGTTTATGTTACTGCTCCCAGATCTTTGCTTCACCACTTGAATTTCTCAGTTTGATTAGTGTTTTGATCGTAAAAAAATATTTGTGAAATTTTAAAATTGTTTGATTTGTTGTAAAAATATTTTGGTAATAGGAATGATTTTTGCAGGGTTCTATAATGCACAAGACAAATCTATAATAGAATATGCAGCCAATGTTGATGTTGTCTTTAGCAATAAGGCCTGTGCACACATACTGGAGCAGGCACGGGAGATGATGAAGAGACCTATACATGTTACAGTGTGTGTTACTCCATTAGAACCAGATGGTGGTCTTATTATACAGGTATCTCAAACTTATGTTAACTTATATCTAACTTTAAAATTTTTACTGAACTTGTAAGATGTTATATAAGTATCTTTCAAACTTCAGTTAACTTTTTATAATACACCCTGTACTGATAGCTCTGAAACTGTGGTCAACATTTTTATTATGCAAAAACCTCTCTCTTTACTTTAAAGGTATATGATGGTTTAGTTAACCTTGATTTTCAGATTTGTATGGGCTGTAAAGGGTGTATGTTAGAAATGTTCAATAAGTAGTAACCTCATATCATAAGAAAATGGAGTATTCATGAGCTAGGACGTGTCATTAGATACTGTAAAGGCAGTACAGTACAGTAGTTGACTCTAAGGGAAATGGGGAAGAAGTCAGTGAGTGCATAAGTTTGTCGATTCAGTTTATGCTGTAGACCAATAAAGAAGAATGCTAATCTTACAATTCTAAATATGTATTAATTTTTTTTTTTTTGTCTGATCATGAGTTGTTCATGATTGAAATTGTGTTAGAGATAGTAATTTGTAAAACCAACTTATCCAACAGTTAAAACAGAATTTATATTACACATGGTATATATGATTGGTGAATGATGTACAGTGGTCTCTGATCTCTGCCACAGCTGTTAGATGTCTCATTAGGTTTGTGATCCCTAGTCCTTCAGTGTCTGTGTACTTCCCTTCACTGTGCTTTTATAAACTTAGTGCCATTATCTCAAATTCACTGTATACCAGACCATAATACCTTGTTGCTCCACCAGAACTTTCTTATCTACTGCCCTCATTAGTTTATGTATCTTAAGCAACTGTACAGTATTTCCTTACCATGTACAATCTTATAATCTTACATACCATACCTTAAAGCTCACTCATACACATTCCTGCAGGATGAAACTGGCCAAAAGCTGGTGAAAAGCACTTTGAGACTGGAACAGCTACTTGCAGCAAAGACCTTTAATCTTCCCAAATGTCAAATTAGGTAAGTCACAGTTAGAGAGAAGAAATGACAGCAAATGAAACTTTTAGTTGCTTTTGATGATCCATTATCATGTTTATACCCAGGGCTGTGGAGTCGAAGACAAAACCTTCGACTCCGACTCCTCAAATTTTTATGCTTCCGACTCCGACTCCTTGGCCTATTTGTAACAACTATTTCTACCATCCTAATTGTAATTTGTATGTTGTAACCTGCCTAGGTAAAAAGTAAAACACCGTGGCTATACTGCTACAGCTTTATTAATGATCTGGACGATATTTAAGAACTACAAAAAGATGATAGGCTTGACTTTCAAAGTTTCAATCAAAAGAAAAATAAATTTATTAAGAATTCAAGATATTAACTAGAAAACACCATTTACATGTATATCTAAAAGTTCGATCTCAGCATATGAATTTTGTTTAAGCTCATAATCTGATGTGGATCTAAATGATGATCCTACAATTCCTTTTAAAGTAAAGTTATATATTTATGTACATTAAAGAAATGAATACCTTATTAAGGAAAATGGATAAACCTTACATGATTAAGTTATTAAATTTGTCAGTCGTCACGGTCACACTACACTTGTCTCTGAGGGAAGGCTCGAGTCACGTGTAAGCAGGATGCCAACGTTTGCTTGTATTAAATTTTTCTTACTCATGAGTCATAACCAGCACTCTGTTAGTAGTTACTTTCATAGATTTTAATGTTCTTGAGTTTTGTCACTTTTATGTGTCCATGACGAAGGCTATTTTTTCCATAATAACCTTGAACAAGAGTCATGATAAGAAAATGTGCATTAAAAGTTGGATTTTGCATGTACCGGTATAGGCCCATAGGGCGCTGTTCTCCATGGCATAAAGGCCTAAATTGGTTTCCCTCATTATTATCCTCTAGGACAGGTCATTATAATATAATTCTCTGGTCACAATCCATTAATGTTCAATCCATAAAAGTGTTATATTATAAATAAGTATGAAAACACCAAACACACACAAAAATGAGAAATAAAATTAAGTATAGCACACCACGGGGCCTCGGAAAGAAACAACTACGACATTCGTCATATTGACATTACACTTGTCTCTGAGGGAAGGCTCGACTCACGTGTAACAGGATGCCAACGTTTGCTTGTATTAAATTATTCTTACTAATAAAAGGGGGTTCTGATAAGGCCATCCATAGGGATATAACAAAGTAATTAATTCCTTTGGACTATTAATCTGTTATTTACCCATCCAAACATACACTAACTCCTTTATAATGTTAATTACAATAAAGTTATATAAAGTAAGGGTTGCCATTTCTGGTTAGTAAAATACCGTGCTCCTCAACGGACAGTATTGCGGTCCCTATCTCTGCCTATCTATCTATCTATCTACCTACCTATCTAAGCAATGCACCACTTTATCTATCTATCTACGTTAGATATATATAGGTAGATAGATAAAATTGTGTAATAGTACTGCACTGTACACATGATAATTTGAAAATATATTTAGTATATATAATTTGCACATCAATAAAACTCTTTCAATCCTTATCTATAGAGAAAGCTCCCACTGAAGTTCTGAACTGTCTTAGAGGTTGTATGATAGAATAATAGATGTAAAAATGTGAAGTAAGTCAGAGGAAATTGCTAAGCTACAAATTACTCTGTGATTTATATTAGCATTACATTATCAAACTACACGCAGGATGGCAACTGTTCCTGCAGTTGACTAAATAAAACCAGAAGTTTCATTTTTTTTCTATCAACCCTCTTATAGTGAGCTGAAGGGATTTAATATAATTAAATAATGGAGGGAAATACTCAGATACTAATACTATTACTAAGCTCGTGAAGAAAATGGCAATTCAGTGCAATCAAGATTCAGCTGGAGTCGGAGTCTGGACAATTTTACCGACTCCGACTCCGACTCCACAAGCCGAAATTTCCTCCGACTCCTCGACTCCGACTCCACAGCCCTGTTTATACCTGTATATAATACACACATACATACACACATACACATACAGTAGTACTTCGATACACCGGACTAATTTGGGCAAACCCCAGTCATGAAAATGGGAAAGTGAAAAAAGCTAATCTGTTTCCTGGAGACAACACTGCTCATCTGGGCTGTTTAAAGAAAATCAGTTTTTGCTATAATGTTATTACTGCACTTCAACAAATAAGGTCTTAAAGTGCATAACAAGGTAATTAAAACACTATTACATCAACGATAAAAAAATGAGACAGAACTCTTGTTGGTTCAAATGAGACACAAGTGGTTGTTGTCAACTTTCTTCACCAAGACGATTGTTACGTGCTTTAAGTGCTATAGAATGTAAGTAACCACAGAATTTTCCTTATGAATGAAGACAAAACTGTATACTGTACAATATTATAAAGATAAAAATATGAGTGTAGGGGTATATTGTGTGTGGAAGATAGGAGTGTAGTACAGTATCTGGAAGCAGTAGGGGAGGTGGCTCTCCCCCAAGATTGCTTTAATACGTCTTTATACAATTTCACTATAATTCTCGTATCATTAAGGTTCATTTGGTGCTTCGTAGATAAAATATTATCGTAAAGTAATAAACTTTCCCGAAAAGGAATCCCACGTTCATCACCATGAGTCATTTGTTTGCAAAGAGCAAACAGCTGATCAGCAAGTCCCCCACCACTCATGCTTACCACAACATCTGTCTTCAGCAGTTAGTAGATTAGTACTGTTGTCTATTTATCATAACTTAATAAATATATTGTATGTTTATCAGCACTTAATAATATTTTAAGTGTATTATGCAGGGGCAGATCCAGGGGGGTCCAGAGGGTCCCCCCCCCCTTTTTATCAGAAATTCCAATACTTTTCTTTAATGCAGTATTGTATTGTACTCTGACGTTTATGAATAGTAAAAAGTAATTACTATTGACCTCAGAATATCTCTTAATATCAAGTGCACATGGCTTCAAAATGGCCTCAAAATGCCCATGATGTTGGTCAGATTTAAAAAAATTATGTGGGGGCTTACAGCACCCCACCTAAACCCCCTAGCTGGGTGGGCTCAGCTCACCATGTTCCCACACCCACAACTTTTTGGACCCCCCTCCTTTTATATATATATAATATATATATATATTATATATATATATATATATATATATATATATATATATATATATATATATATATATATATATATATATTATATATATATATATATATATATATATATATATATATATATATATATATATATATATATATATATACATATTATATATATATATATATATATATATATATATATATATATATATATATATATATATATATATATATATATATATATATATATATATATATATGTATATACTGTATATATATATATATATATATATATATATATATATATATATATATATATATATATATATATATATATATATATATATATATATATATATATATATATATATATATATATATATATATATATATATATACACTGTATATTCCTGGATTTTCCCGTTGTGCATCTGCATATTCCCAGGTTTATTTATTATTCAGTTGTCTCAGTGGACAAGTAGCCAATTCAAGCCATCATGCATCACTCAAAGGTAATAAATAATGTTGTTAGGAAGGTAATTCCATATCAAATACTATACAGTATGTTATAGTCACCCTGTTGTAAGTTGATTTGCTGAAGGCGCTCTCACGAATGTATCCTAAGTGAATACTGAACTTTCCAATAATTATCTTATCCTTTTATTTTCAAGTCAAATTACATATTGTATTTTTTCTATTATTGAAGTTGTTATAATAATTATGATGAATCATACACCATAAGAGGCTGACCATACAACAATATAATACTGAAACAATAAATAAACCTGATGCAGGACTCAGAATGAGACATCTGCAGTGTGATACCCAAGTACAGACTGCACGTATGAACACACAGACTGTCCAGACTGATGCTGGATTTTCCACTCTTTTTAATAATATTTCTGGAGAATAGAGGGGCGATCCAGAGCACCTCAGAGTTTGGATAAAAAAAACCTGGTGTATAGAGGTTCTTCTGTATATGTAAACCTTTTTAGTGATACTGTACTATCAAGCAAAAGGTGAGTATTTTTTAATGGATCCAGGAATACATTCTCCTATATTCCACAAAGTTAAGTTTTATTTTCACAGATTTAATTAAGACAGGTTTCTCAAGATCATAAATACTTGTTAAATTATAGGCTTATTATATTACTCAGATTTCGAATTTAATAAATATATTTTATAATGTGAGTTTAGTCACTTCAATTAAATCATACTCAAGCTTATAATATATAACATAGCCACTGAAGTTGTGATAATTGATCTGTTGCTGATATTCAATACAGGAGGGAGTAGACTTTCTAATAGAATGTTGAGGTTTAGGCATGTAGTCCATGTGTATTGTACATAGGGCCTCATCAGCTTGTGTTTAAATATATATGATCTTAGGGGTAGTTTCATTCACTAATATTGGCAGTGAAACATTAAGAAGAAAAACTGAGAAGAACATAGTATAACTTGATGTCTCTAACTCAGCAGTATATTTTTTATTCAGTTATTTGTTTTTATTCTTAAAAGTAAGTACCAGCACGTCCAAAATTTTAATACACTTCTCTTGAACCAGTGCATCTGTTTGTGAGTTAGTGGAATTGATATATAAAACAATGGATGAAGCATGTACCAGTTCACCCCAATATGCTGGAAGACTATTCTATACTGTTCGCAACATCCTGACGCTCTACTGCCACGTAGTACCCACGTCCCATGCCCACGAACTTGCTACGTTGCCACAACAAGCAGGCAAGTAACTTTTATTAGATGTACTATTTTTGTTGTTAACAAATTAAATCGTAGAGTAGCAGAGGAAAAGAAAAATAAGAGGGATGTGTAGAGGAATTGTTGACTTGACACTACTACTGTACAAGGGAGGTTGCAAATAATAAGAAATTTAACTGTTACATGGATAAATGGAAATTAAAGAAGTGATGGACAGAGTCTGACCAGGGTTTGCTGAGATGATATGGAGATATTGATAGAATGGGAAGTGAGATATTCATTAGAAAAATAAAAAAAATCAGAATTGAATGGTAGAAGGGTGAAGGAAGTCCAGCAAAGAGATGAAAGAATGGGGAGAAAGTAGGATGACAGATTAGGGGATGGACAATCCTAGAAGCAGCAGAGTACAGGAGTAATAAGGGAGGAGGACATCCAAGGGTTTCTGGGTATGTCACATTAGGTAGAGTGAATGGATGAAGGCGAGTGAAAAGAGCGTGTTTTTGTTCTTGATTGTGGGCCACCTGCTGTATAGTAAGAAAACCTTAGTATTAATAAAAAAAATAAAGGGGTATTACACGTTAGATGGGTTGATTTTGGTGGATTTGGATGCAATAAAGTTGGAAAAGGAATATCAGAAGGAAGATGTTTCATGTAATGGCTTCTGAAGCTCCTTAAAGAATAGTCTAATTAACACTAATGCTACACACTCACTTGGTTATTTGTCATGTGTTTGCATACTTGATGCTGTCCAACAAAATTTATTATCTTTTATTATTATCATTTAGCTGGTTAGATGCAGTCCTCTGAAAATGCTACTCTTGGCTAAAAGAAGTACAGTAACCTTTTTTCTTATTATTTTATATATTTTTTCATTTGGTTCCAGTAACATTGTACAGTAGTCCTACTTGTGATCTGCCACACATTCCTAGACTCACAGTATCCTTCAGTGAGACCAATTTTCCCATCACTTTACCTCTGTTCCCTTTTGATGCTTTCCTTTATGTAGGTTTCCACTTATGCATGCATTCCTCAGCATGTATTTTAAGTAAGATGTAAAGTAAGAATTAGCTAGAAATAGTAAGGCATATTGAGTAGATATCATTAAGTCATGATCATACAACTTACCTAAGATATGCTAGAATGAGCCTATAAATGACTTTTATACAGTTCACTCACTATGACTATACTTGAAGTTAACTTAAATTCTTGGGAGGACTGTGTACAATGAAGCCAATTCCTTAAGCAAGGGGAGTTCAAGAGCATGGTGTCAAAGGATATAGACGAAAGATATTGTAGTGAACACCAATTAAATTAAGAGTATAATATTCATGTGTGTATTTGTTAAATGTGTGATTTTTTTTTTATCATTCTCTAAAACTTAAATGTGTTAATTTGTTTCCTTTTATTTTTTCCTAATACCTGTAGTTAAATTCATAGCAGAACACTGATAATGAGTTATTTAGAGAGATAAATGATGTTGATTGACAAGAGAGTCTGTTGCACACTATTTCAGCCACCCAACACTGGTAAGGTAGAGCACTTGAGGGGGGGAGGGAAGGGGAATTAACTACACATAAAAATTAATTTTGTTCTTTTTTCTTTGCAGCGGTAGTGCACAATAACAGTATGTACCTTGCTCATCATGCACTCCTGTTGGGACTCCAATACAAAAATCGACTACCACAGGCACTCAGAGATAACACACTTACCACTGTTGATTTGGCCCAACAACTTCGAAAGATGGCAACTGCCACATTTTTAAAAGCTATGCAGGGACACCGTACAACCCTTATTGACTCCCTCAGAGACTCTGCTGGTTAGTGTTCTGTGTTGGTCTGTTAAAGATTAGTTTGAAATCCAGTGTATTTTATGACTTGACCATCTTTTATGTCTAGTTTTTCAAGTCAAATGGATCTCAGTCTAATCTAGGTGAGCCATTATGAGAGGCCCTTCATTATACCAATCACCTGATACTTTATATTTTGGTAGCTGTAGTGTGGGTACAGAACTGAAAAGATAAGTAATTGTTTTCATATAATAAGTAAGAGAATTCTCATGGTGTTGGAGAATGTATCTGTATAGGAAGATATGCCATAGGATTCAAGTCTAAAATTTTGTCAAGTTGAACTGTTAATATTTTTGTCTTGTACAGTACAGTATATGAGGCCTTTTCAGTATATAGTACTGTAATGTCTATTTTGTATAAAAAGGAGATTAGATGTTATCTTGGTTGCTTTTTTTGACTATACGAATGTAATTACTTTATAACGTCTTGTACCACAGGCTTAGACACTATTGGATGTGACACTAGTGGAGTAAATAAAGCACAGCAGGGTATGCGACAGGTCCTTCACCAGCTTCAATTATTACGTAGGGTGTGGCAGGATGTACTCCCCCATACTGTATACACAAAAGCCATGGGTAAGTATATTCAGGTGTGTTTTTCAAGACTTTTGCCAGGATTTTGATACCATTGATCATTTTGTGCAACATTTAAATTGTCATATGATTTTGTCCATATTACTCTTCTGTTATTTATAACTTGTATATTCAAATGCATATTGTGGTTGAAAGAATAAAATATTAGATTGGGTATGGATAATAATTTACTTTCTTTTTAAGTGTCTAAGCAGCTGATTTTAAAGGTAAAATTAAGAAAAAATAATGCTATAAAGATTCTACTTTTGATTGTGGCCTCCTGGTGCCATCGTGGCAGGGTGAGGCTTCCAGAAGTGACCAACTGTCTCTTTGACAGGCACATTGGTGGGGTCAGTAGTGGAGGAGGTGGTGACACGCGTTGTGAGCTTGGAGGACATTTCAGCAGATGCAGCTCTGGCGCTCATTAATCTTCTTAATCTCTTCAAGGATAATGTACCAGCACTCTTCCAGGTGAGAGCCATGTTGTGTGTGGTGTAGGTTATATGGTCCTCGGTCCCTAATTGGTTTTGACAGTATAACCCAATCATTAGGACAAGGGACCATTAGGATTGGGTCTATAAGGATCAAAGCCCATTGGGACTAAACCCATCATAACTGAATCTCAGTCTCAGTGGTTACCCTAGTGCTGGACCCCAGTTATAAATATTGGGTTAGGTTTGGGCCCATTAGGACTGAGACTCATTGATAAGTCACTCATTTGAATCTGTAAAGAATGATGTTTATAAGATCAAAAGGAAAAAATGATTTATGTAGTTGTTCATTTCATTAGCTTTTAAAAGATAATACAGTATGAGTCTTTCATTTTGGTTTCTGGAGAATTGAGGTTTCTTTGCCCTTTCAAAGTTGAAGAAACATCATTTGGTCTCATTCTTATTACACTGTGTGATGGGTAACCTAACACAAGTTCTGAAACTCAGCAGTGTCGCCTGGACCTGTTTTCATTGTTTAATTTTTTTACTTCCCTCCTATTTATTTACCCCTTTCCTGCTTGTTTGCTTTTAATTTTAACATGTTGAGGCAGTTATTACTCTTTTTACTTAAGATCTGACACAGAGCTAATCCTTTATGACAGACTCTTCTGCATATGATTCAGTCATTTTTGTTAGGTCTTTGACTGTTCACATATTTTGCTAGTAACTAGAACTTTTAAAGAATATTTCAATTCTGTGAGTTTGGAAGAAAAGATATGAGACATTAGCATGACTCACAAACCATGACTGGTTTATTACTTAAGATATTTACAGGGAATTAAGAACTTTTAAAGGAAAGATTACACTGCTTAGGTCAGTGTGCGAAATTTTAAAAAAGAGGAAAAGTAGTGGATAACCCTTATAATATTGAAGATAAAATAATCATTAGGGCTTAGGGAAAGTACTATTCTTTTATCTTATTATAATTTATTTTTAAATCAGCCACAAGAAAGCAGGCACTACACATGTAATAGACTGCCAGTCTACCTGGTGCCCAGCTTACTTATGTACCAAATATACATGATATTTATTTTTTTCATAGGTGGAGGGCGATGCAAGAACTAATCCAGGAGATGTAGTGCGACAAGTGCGGTTGTGGGGGAAATTCTGTGAGCTAATTGTCATTTTAGGAGCTAGTCTGCGGGACATTTTGGATAGATGGGCAGAGGGCAAAGGTCCTCTGGCCCATGAGTTCACCCCAGATGAAGCCAAGCAGCTGATCAGAGCTCTGTTCCAGAACACTGATCGCAGAGCTCAGGTCCTGGCCCGGATAAAATGATCATCAAATGTGTCCCTAAAAGTTTGACTTCCATTTTATAGAATCTTTAGTGATAAGAGTTTCACATATTTTTTAATATTTATACAATTACACTCTTTTCAGAAATTTTAGACTTGCTAAAAACTTTCTTGTAAAAGTAAAGACAACCATTTTTGACAAGCATTATAATTTTTTCTTTGTTTTTCATTGTTGGGAAAATTTTTTGGCATGCATTTAAAAGTTAAACCCAATATGCAACCAGACTAAATGGTCACAGGTAAGCCAGAGATATTAAAGGACTGCCTGCTATATCCCTGAATGACTACTCCTTGGTTAGGAGTGCTGGACTCTTGTTAAACATGGTCTGACAAGCCTCTGTGGCAGCTCAGTACAGTATTTTCTTCCATAATTCAACATGATTCATTTATGATTTTATTTATTTTTTATTTTATTTTAAGTGTTCAATATTTTTTTTGAAGCACATAAGAATGTCAAATACCTGTATGTCCCAAATTTTTTAAATCATAGAATAAACAAGTAAAGTCTCGGTCAGCATCGTGCTTCATATAATTGGTGGTGAATAAAAACTCTGGGCTTAACTGTAAGGACTCTTTATCTTATTATTCATTTATCTTTTGAACACGTTAAATGCTTTTTCTGAACAAAAAAGGATTTTTGCAAAAAAAATTGAATTATCAAAGAAAATATATTCATATGGACAATAGTTTGTGCCTTTTCCAGACCTGTGATACACTTGGTTGAATGAGGAAAAAATGAAATGTACGTATCGTACTGTACTGTATATATAATATAATAAATAATAGGAATGAAAATGCAATATTTTTTGACTAACCAAATGATCAAGCATACTGTTTAACATTTAATCAGGATAAAATCATTTCCACATATTGTACCTGTATCTAGGGTTAGTGAATACTGTATTGTATAATGAAAAAAGTAGTCGACTGTGATGCAATGACAGCCATCATTTATATACATGCTATTTCAACCAACTGATTTATTGTTGTACAGTATATACGTAATTTATCAACATTATTTTCTGAAAATAAGTATAATGTATTGCAGGTAATAAACTGGTTGGTTTTGATGGCCTCTGAAAGCACCACCATAGCAGTAAAATCATTTATATGGTGCATCTATGTCAGATGCTTGACTGATTATACATGTTACACAAAATTGAAAGGATACAAATTATTACAGTATTCCTACCCTGAAGCTGCAACCACCTCTTAGGAAATCCAACTTTCCCCAAATTTAGATATGGTGTGTTCTAGGTTTCTATTAGTTCTGTGTTCTGCCTTGTTTAGAACTTACGATGTCATCCTAAATCTGAATGTCTGCTTCGTGTTTTTATTTTTTAGGTATATAAGTAAAGTTTTTAGTTGGCAAGAGACATCTCACAAAGTCTTTATTTTAAAGTAGTGATGGTTTCATTGTTTCTTCCAAGTTTTCAACCATTTCTTATGAACCTTTTTTTTTTATTTGTCAGATATATAAATTTCCTCATGATTTTTCACAGACTTAATGAAATGTTAAGATTTGTTTGATATTAGTTATAAAAATGAAATCGGCAAAATTTCTGATTAATAGTGGAGTATTCTACTAAAAAAAGACAATTAATCAAAATGTATGTATGGATAAGGTGCTTGTGTATAGTGTTGCAAAAGAAAGTACTGTAATGTAGGTATAAAAAAGAAATGGAAGCAGAAAATTCTGAGTGTGATTAGTTGGTGAATCATCATTGATTTAAAAAGAACAATAAAAGAAAATTTGTATGGCTCAGCAGTGAACTATGTTAATACAGGGTAGTTGTTGTGACAGCCAAGTAGCTATTCAAGTACCTGTACAATTAAATTAGGTAAATTTACTGAGAAGTTGGTATTGAATTTAGAGAATGGGTAAAGTGAGAAAAGGGAGTTATACAAAAGACTGGGTAAAGGTTGCAAGGGTATGTAGGGAAAATGTGTACAGTATGGCTACAAGAAAGGTAAAGAGGAGTAGATGAAGATAAGAGAAAACTGGAAAGATTGTGTGTAGATAGTCATGTTTTTTTATTTTTTATGGGGATTAGTCCACCTTGGTACAGGTTCACCAACTACCATTGGGGCCTGAGGGGGTTGAAAAAAAGGAACCAAAAGTATATACAGAAATGGAAAAATAAAACAAGTCAAGAGTGAGAAACAATATGGTATATGTTGTGTTGTCAATATTAAGAGAAACAATTAAAACCCTGCAATTGTGTGTAAATGAAGCAGTAAGTCAGATAAGCAACCTGGGACTTGGTCACAATTTTTGTCATATCATATAGCAGCAGGGTCTACCATTAGACAACACATTATGCTTCCAATATCTTCCAGGATGGTAGTACCTCCCTGTTTATGGCGACCTGTGGTGTAATGGTCAGCATGCTCGCCTCGCAAGCAAGCAAGCGGACCTTGGTTCGATCCCCAGGCAGGGCAAAACTATGGGCAAGTTTTTTTATGCCATTTGCCTCTGTTTACTCAGCAGTAATTGGGAACCTGGATATTAATCGATTTGCGGATCGTGTTCCGGGGTAATGGTTAGCCAGTGCAGTTGACGAGTTGTCTGGTATTCTCGGACTAGGTACTCCTCGACTTACGACCACCCGGTCATACAACCGCCTCAGTCGTACAAAAATTATAAATTACGTATTTTCGAGTCCCGACGTTAGTGATTGCGCTGTGTACTGACAAATTTTTTTTTGTAATCCCCTTTAAAATGACTGGCAAGCGTAAAAGTGAGAGTTCTCGTGGTGCTAAGAAGAAAAAGAGACCCCCGTTTTAGATTTTCTATGTACTGGTATTATTTTCGCATTTTCCACTTACGACCTGGTCGTCGGTCCCTAACCCCATCGTAAGTCGGGGACTGACTGTATTTGTTGACACTGGGTCATGCAACTCATTCACTCAGGGTGTGGTTGTTGTGTTGGCGACAGCTTCTACACCTGAAACAAATTCACGCCTAGGTGGCCCTTGGGCTGGCCATCCTCGTTACACGAGAGGCAACCATTTTTACCTCCCAGTTTGATAGTTTCCTACTACTGTATAAAACACCCTTAATTCATGAAAAAAAGGCTTTGCTAACCTAGAGGTTGTATGGTATAACACTTATTGCACATGTGGCATTGTAAGTGGTCTTGGCTGATAAACTTGAGTTCATTATATCTGTCTTTGCTGTATGTTCTGTGTATAATTGGTGCGATGTACTGTATTACTGTACTGTACTTATGACTCAATCTGAAGCCAGTGATAAGAGATGTGGGGAAAATCTTAAGTGTGCACTGTGTAATTTGCTTCATTTCCCATCCCATCCCATCCCTTGTGCAAACGACATCAGAAATCTACACATCCATCATTACATTCTTACTAGATCCTTGTTACTGTAGTTAAATTGTGCCTGGTAGGTTTACATACCATAAGTGGCACAAAGCTTGTCTTTGGTTCCTTGACCAGGTGCAGAGTACTGGTATTTTTTATTTACTTTTTTGTTTGGTGAAAGAAACTGGTGTTTATTTAATCCTCCATTGCTCCTGATGAGTTTATCCATCATGGGTCTTGGTTTAGTACAGGAGAAAACCCAGTGAAAGTGGGAAAGTTTGCAATATTTGGTGGTGTCAAACTGGATAATACCCTTTCACATCTGACCTGAAATTGAACCCCAGCTGCATACTACCGCAGTACCACTGACTGCCTGTACAGTACTTGATACTGTACACCCACCTCTCGTTTTATGCGGGGGTTACGTTCTTGAAAACCACCGCTTAATTAAAAATCCGTAAATTAAACATAATTTCCCCATAATAATACATGTAAATGGTACAGGTTAGGGGAACAATCATATACCGCACAGTATGAACAGTGCTCTCACTTAAAACAAGCTTGCGGCCAACCTCCGACACACGCTCTCCTCTCTGAAGGCGGGTGATCAAATTTAATTTTACGTCCATTGCTAATGTTTTTCGTGCCTTTTTAACTTTAGGCGCCCCAGAGGAGACAGATGGACGTTTTCCAGACATGCTCAATGGGAATACAGCGTTTAACATTAAAAAGGTACGTGATAAACACACAATGCAAATGAGAGCACAGAGAAAAACTTATGCTGGTGTGAACTGAGACAACGATACGCTGGAAGCTTGCTGGACGTCGTCACAGTTGTTGTACAGAATACTTCATTATCATCATTATCTTCATCATTAGTAGTAATAATTATTTAAATTATTATTATTAATAATATTAAAATCGTTGATGATATGACTGCGACTTTAGAGTAATAACTTACAAGCACCTCACCAGGCATCACACGCAACTATGCGCGACAAATTTAAACTGTCTTGACCGCGTTATTTAAAAAATAGGTGCATGTAAATTAGCTTTTGGTATTAATTGAACAATCGCGTTATTCCAAAAAGGCTTAAATCAAATGCGCGTAAAACGCGAGTTACCTGTACTGGCATGTCAGTCACTGTATTGTGGCGTATCGGGAACATGTGAAACATCGGTACTGTACATGTATATAATTTTCATAATTCATGTAAAAAGGAAAAATAAAGACATACTGTAAATGAGCTCTTCTTTATTTTAAGGTTACTGTACCTGAAAATAACAGAAATGCTGGCATGAGTTCAAAATTTACATTAGGAATCACCAATTATCAGACCTAAGGGGTCCTACTGTGATTTGTTTTCGAGGTTGTCTCCCCGATGGCAGCAGTGGAACCTGTCTGGCTATATACCTGTACCACTACTGTATATGACCACAGTATTCTTTACCATTTTCTTAATGTCAGTTGATAGTGACACCACAGTTCTTTAGAATAATAATTTGAAATTTATCCTGTTAAGTGGTCGAGTCACATTCTGCATCCTTTTACAAACACCCTGTAAAAGTTATCACTTTTACTGAGGTGTCACCTAATTCCCAAATATGTACTGTACAGTACAGAAAATTATATAAGTTGATTAATTTTGAAGTTTTATAAAATCATCCAGTATTGTGAACCAACTTGACTATACTGTAGTGTCAGCATATCTTAATACAATATAAAACTGTTGACTGTTATATTTTAGTAACCCATTACCCATTTCATCTAGACTTGAATTGTAAAAACCTTATGTATTGCAGGTGAACTATTTTATACACAGACAACACTTGTTAAAGAATTGAAGAATATAGGAAACCAAAACATGGAACAATGGTAGAGACCTACAGTACTGTCTAGTGTATACTTAAAAATATATAGAGTAGACCCTCGCCAACCACGGATTCCATGTATCTTTGGTTTTACTCTGTATACCATTTCACTAACCACGGCATTTTATTTTATGTATCTGCGGATTAGCACGGCGTTTTTATCCTCCGTAGTCTAAAGTATTCCTCCGCGCAGCGTCCCATCTCCTGCCACTGCTCTCCATGCTCCCTCAGTGTTGTGATCTTGTAGCATGCTGACATACTGTACTGCTTTGTATTCTCTCACAAATTTTCTACTGTAAAAACTTCGATTTTACCCTTAACTATAGCCTGTAAGTGTTCATTGAGTGTCGGTGATAAACTTGAGAAGGTGAAAAGAGCAAGGAATGTAATGACATTAAAAAGGAAAGTTAAATTACTTGATAGACTAGTGCATGAGGAGAGTATATCATCAGTGGGACATGCTATGGGGGTAAACAAATCCTTGATTTGTAACATAAAAAAAAGTGAGACTACGATAAGGGCAAGTGTTGCTGGTAGCACATTGAAATGTGCAAAAGTGACATATATGTCATGTGACCATAATCTTGAAAAGATGGAAAAAGCACTGAATATATGGGAAGACCAGACCCAGAAAAAATGTACCTTTAAGTTCAGAGGTAAAGTGTGTGAAGGCGAGGCAGATGTACACCCACTAAAAATTTATTCGGCACCCATGTCATATTTTATCACGCCGTAAGGGTGCCAAATAATTTTTTATTGGGTGTACAGCCACTTTGTTGAAAGTTTGGGTGAAAAGTATAGCAGACAAAGTTTCAAGCCAGTAAGAGCTGGTTTGAAAACTTTAAGAAAAGGTACAGCCTGTACAATGAAACATACTGGGGAATCAGCATCAACAGATCATCAGGCCGCTGCGCTGTATCCCGAACAATTAAAAAAATTAATTCAGGAGAAGGGTTACCTGCCAGAGCAGGTAGGTATTCAATCTGGATGAGACTGACTGTTTTGGAACCGGATGCCTAAAAGAACTTTCATTTCAAAGGCTGAGAAGTCTGCTCCTTGATTTAAGGCAACGAAGAACAGGCTTTGTGGTAACATCTCAGGGGACTGCTTCATCACACCCATGCTCCTCCACCAGTCACTGAACCCCTGTGTCCTGAAGGGCAAGAATAAGAACCACCTCCCTGTCTTTTGGAAGTCTAACCGCAGGTATGGGTTACCGCTGCCGTCTTCATGGATTGATTCCATAACTGTTTTGTCCATGAGGTTGAACTGTACCTGGTTCAAGAGGCTATTCATCATCGACAATGCGCCCGTTCACCCTGAAGCTCTCCAGATTGCCCATCCCAATATAGAAGTGGTATTCCTCCCTCCAAACACAACATCACTCCTTCAGCCCATGGACTAGGGTCTAATAGCAACATTTAAAAGCCATTACACTTGCCACACCTTCAGTTGTATCTTTGATGCCATGGTGGAGGAGGACACCTTGACAATTTTGGAGTGCTGAAAGAGATTTAACATCGTTGACTACATCAGCATCATCATATAATTCGTGGATGAAGTGAAGCCGTCAATGCCGATGTGTGCTTTGGAAAAATCTGGCTTAAGGTAGTGCACGACTTCTAAGGCTTCCCTTCAGTGGATGCTGAGGCGAGATGTATCGTGTAGATTGCGCAATCTTTGCCAGGGGAGGGACTGAGCGACATGCAGGTCAATAACATATGAAGAGCTTCTTGGCTCTTATGTGGAGGAGTTGACCAAGGATGACCTACATGAGCTGATACAGTCCTCCAGTGATGATGAGGATGTGGATGAGGTGAAAAAATGAAGATGACTTGGCAACCGTAGCAAAGGAATACTTGCTGCTTCAAATTTGACTGAGTATTTCATAGAAATTGATCCATTTGTGGAGTGCAGCCTTACTTTTAGCATGGGTTGGAGGATTTAATGAGGCCCTACAAGGAGGTGTATAGGAAACTAAAAAAAGAAAAAAGAGAAAAACCATCCTAAATTATTTTTTTTAGGAAGCTAATGGCTACCAATCCTACAGCTGCGTCGATCATCAACCCACAACTCTCCACTAGCGGCTATACTCCAGTTACCACCAACGACCCTCCACTAGCCAAGATGTCACTGCTTCACCTACCTCATCAGACACTGACAAACCTGTAGAGGTGCAGGAAGAGAGTGGGCCTCTGTACCCCTCGTCATCAAAACGTGAAGGTAAATAGCCCTTACTGTATACAGTATTGTAAAATTTATATTACTATATATAATTTATATTACTGTAAGCTATTTTATATATATTTTTTGACTAAAATTTAATTAAATGTACAATTCAGGTATTGTTTAGTGAAGGAACAGGCAACTTACTGTATTTAGGCTCTGACGAGTGTTATCCGCGGCTGAGGAACCTAACCCCCTATTTCCCATAAGCCTTTATTCTTGCCATTGGAGGATTGGCCAACCACGGGGCTTTTCAGGAACCTAATCCCTACGGTTGGCGAGGGACTACTGTAATTCTTTTAGTGGAATCTAAAAGTACAAAACTGTTTTGTAAGCTCAGGGCATGAGTTGTTTTACATGTAAAAAGCTCAAACCACTGGAGAAGCTTGATATCTTTATCTCATGATAAAGGAGATGTGTAATGTAAAAATGAACTTAACATCCTGTCTCAATCTAGATGCATATATTTCTTATGTAAGAAAAAAGATATGTTCACTTGTTCACTGAAGCACTGTGTATTGTATGGATGGAGTGGTAAGAGAAATGACGACAAGGGTTATTAGGGAAGGAGCAAAGCTGGAGCTGAAGGTTAAGGTTTGGCCAATAGTAGTGTGTGTCCTGGCAAATGATACAATGCTTTTTTGCAGAGTGAGGAGAAGCTGTAAGAGGCATTGAATGACTCTTGAAAGGGTGTGTAACAGAATGAAATCGAAGGTCTTGTAATTGCTAAGAAGAGTAAGGTAATAGCAAGTGAAGATGAAAGAATTTAACTTAATGGACTTTGTAAAAATAGAAAAACTGACGCAAGTACAGTACAGTAAAATGTAATACACTGTACTATGACGATGCATAAAATACTGGAGGAAGTTAGGGATAGTGGAACAATATATTAAGGTGTAAATAAGGAAATAAATACCTGTACAGAGGATAGGGGGTAGAAATCTCTAATAATAGGGCAGCCTGGTGATTCTACGGTGGTCACCCTCTCTGAGAGGAGTGAGGCATCACAGATAAGAAAACGTAAAATACTACCTTCTTGAAATAATTTGAATAGCCAGTGGTTCCATGATAACCCAATTGGGTGGATGGGATGCCAACCCCAACCCTGTTACCTGCTGCCTGGTGTGTGTTCTTAAAAAAAGGGGAAGAGAAAGACATTCTCAGATGTCACAAAATACCTTTTCATGTTGTGACCTTGGTGGTGTTTGGCCATTAAAGAACACAGCACCTGGCAGCAGGATTACCTGTAATGTATAGTCCAGAATGTGTGGGGATGCTTGGCTCACTCATCGGGCACCTCCACTTCCCCGCTGTCAATGGCAGCCTGTATTTCACTTGGGCACTGACCTTCTACCATGCAGCCAATGCTTTTGGCAGTGCCTAGCATTTCCTTAACAGTGCCAGCAAGGGTCCTGGCCATGGAACGGGGCCTCATAATGCGGGCAGTGTTTATCACCTCATCCATACTGATACTGCCGTTGTGTTTAATGTGTTTAACCTGCAAGAGATATACAGTACACCTTGTCACTAAAGGTTCGTCAGTTATTGCCTTATATGTATACATTTATGAGGAATTGTACCTTAACAATGACGAATGATAAACAGGTTTGTTATTATTGTTATTGTTACCTATCATAATTGCTGATATGGAATATTTTAAATTAAAATTTTAACACACATTTACAATGGTCATGATGTAACTTGCTATATGATAGTTTCAATAAATAAATTACAACAATATTATCCAAGCTGAAACCGGTAGTATATTAGATTGAATTCCTGTGTAGAACAGCTGTATCACTAACACTCTGCCAGCCAAAAATGAGTAGCTAAAAGTAAAATGCCATCCAACCTTCTTTCTGTCTCTTGGTGGCTCCTTAAGACAGCGGATGAGAAGAGCTGCAGCTGTAGGCACCACCTCCACCTGTGCTTGACGGTTTTGGATGGTGAGCTGCACTGTCACCTGCAACGTACAATCCATCCACTCTTGTTACAAGTAACTGTAATCTACAGGATTTATGTTGCAGAATAGTGTTTAAGTTGTATTTGGCTTATTAGGTTATACTGTATTTGATTTAGTTAGGCTAAACCTGGCCAATTTACAGCTTTTATAAAGGGGTGCATAGATTTATTGTCAGACAGCTTCCAGGCCATAAGACAACTGTACAAGAAAAAACTTTGCTTGGAAATCTAAGCAGAACGTTAACATTTCATTAAAGAAAATTAATACTGGACATTACCTTGAGCCCCTTCCATGCGGTGGTGGCCTTGCAGATATCTTCACCAACCTTCTTTGGGGAAAGGCCGAGGGGGCCCACCTTAGGGGCCAGGGAGGACGTGGCTCCAACCTCCCCACCAACTGCACGCAGCTTCACTGTTGTATTGCACAAGTAACAGTTAATAAAGAAATATATGCAATAGAATATAAGAATCAGTGAGTACAATGGAATATAAAAGTATAATTGTAGGACCTACAGTATATAGTACACACACAATAGCGAGAAAACTACAGTCGTACTAATACATTGCTGTAAATAATGCTTCCCATAAAATATGTTGCTTGGAATATGAAATAAAACATGATTTTAAAAATAAGTAGTATGATGCAAACTATTGTATACTTATCTGTAACCTAATTACAGTATTAATTCTACACAAACATTGAAAGGATATTGAGAATAGGGTGGTTTATAAGCCTCATGACAAGCTCTACCAAAAGACTCAACCCAGGATTAAAAAACAAAAGCCTCTGAACAAATTCTGTAAATTTATCCCTGAATTTTACAGCAGTACTACTTTATATATATATATATATATATATATATATATATATATATATATATATATATATATATATATATATATATATATATATATATATATATGATAAAATTTTTGCATAAAATCTATACTGTAATTAGTAATTTTCTATACAAATGAAAAATACAATTATAAAGATGAAATACCATCAGTACCGACGCCATACACCCCGCCAATTGGCCACCAGTGACCAGTGACCTCTCAAGGCAGTGAGACTATAGTGACGATGCTTGCTAAAAGTTGCCTTTTTTCCGATTATTTTTGAAAGTGTGCCTATTTTTGTGATTTACGAGGCGATTAAGACGTTATAAAATATAAATAGAAAAAACAGACAACATAATTTTTGAAAGACATGATAATTGTAAGGTAAATGATGACCCAACTACCTTTCAGAGGATTGTGAAATATCGCCTGAAAATTGTGTTGTAATATACCTAAGGAGTGATTTGTTTACATAATTATAAGTTAGTGTACCGATAGTTTTAGTGAATATATGCCTAATTAATCTGGGTGCTGTGAACTGATGTGTTTGACAATTGTGAATTTCAAGATGAAAAATGTACGAGGCAGAGATGGGAACACTGACGGGTCTCGGTAAGTACAATACATTACATATTTGCACGAAATCTATAATTCAAGGGGGAAATAGAGGATATCCTATTGCCTCTTGTGACAAAGTTAGTTTAAATTATATAGTTTGAGATTTATTCATCAGTGCATAGCAGATTTTGCTATTCTTGTTTCCAAACATTTTGCCCCTTGTAATTTGTGTTTTCTGACTTAATTTTTAGTTTCAGTGACACTTTTTTATTATAATAGTTTGATTCCTCGGCAGTAATCCAAATAATACCGTCTGACGAATTAAGCACAAATAATGGGGTTTCTCAACCTTTTTTACGTTGTGTCCAGTGGTGATATTCATTTTAGGGGGGATTGTAGTTTCAGAGATATGCCTTTTTTTTTCCCAAGAATACTAAATTCCCACACAAGTGGGCAAGGGTTTGAAGCTGAGGGAAAACATGGGTTTAAAAACATTAAAAAACAAATAATCTAACTTAACCCAACCTAACCAAACCAACCAAACCAAACCTAACCCAACCCAACCCAACCCAACCCAACCCAACCCCGACTTAACCTAATTAACCAGCTGAAACTGAAGTTGCTGGTATCTTACATTTGGAACAAATTCTGTTTTTATATAGTATGCCGTGAGAAACGAAAAAAACACAATAGCTTTCTCGTCCTCGACTAGGAAAGTACAGTACTGTACTGTAATAGCGCTGAACTCAGCACCTGTCACACACAGCTAGCGCGAAAAGGGGCGCCAAGATGTGGAGGAAGAGGGAAAAACCCGAAAAGCAAATAAAAGAAAAGCTATGGTTGCCTTATAATTGAAAGGCTATCAATAATTGGCAGAATAAAAAAGCAGCCCGTGACGTGACCACTGACCAATGTTAGTAACTCCCTACAGCGAGTTTACCAGATCCTCATCTCGCTCCCTCCCCCCGCCGTAGATATATGGTACCAAATTTCGGTCTCAAATTTCACATTGAAAGTAAATCTCAAAATGAGATATATACAGTATATCATTAAAATCGCCTGTAATATATATTAAGTAAGATCAGGTCTTTTTTTTTATAAAGTAAGTATGCATTTGGATAATGTACAGTATTTATATAATAAATTCATGTCCTTAAAGTTATTGCGAAAAAAATACATGTTAAAAAGCAGCCTTCCATTTAACAAAAACGACTGATCATAGGTTTGGTTAGTATTATAGCTCACAAGCTCCCTGTACACTGCGACTAACAATCACCGTGTGTGTGTTTGTGTGTATTTTAGAGTAGGGGTGTGGTGGGCATGAACCCCGCCGTCTTCGTCACTATATATAACTCCTGGGTGTGGAGCACGTGCCCGCCTGGGCCACGGCACTTGTTGTAATCAGTTGCGCTGACAATTATTTTACTTCAACGAAAATTAATATACGTACTTTCTTTAAATAATTTTGAACCAAAGTAAATACTATATGCTTATGAAAAATACGAATTGAATTGACTACATTACTTTTCACTCCCGAATTTTTATATTAATCAGTAGTGTAGGTATTTTCTAAAATATAAATTATAAATGAAAGTACCGATAGACGTGACTCAGTGTCATTATTCAGCACAGCAATATACAGGGTATCTTGGCTGTTCAACGTGGATAACAAATTTATTCCTGCTTATATACTGAAAGTTTCCTTAAGACCAGACTATCGTTATAATTTTATCACTGACTCACAAACTCTGTCTTCTTGGTTAAATATTACTTCAGTTTTTCGAACTCTACTGTGGTAGAGGAATATCAAACCACGGGGAAACTATAATTACTCACCAACTTTGATTTCGGTAGGATCGAACTTAGGCGGCATGTTGGCGGCGAGGACGACTAGGCGAACGTGTGATCACTGTCAAAGTTAACCAAGGAAAGGCAGAGTAGTGGCTGGCAACCCACGTTGGCATCCACCCTGGGGGTCGGCGTGCAGGGGGGCAAGGGAGTATTGGTGAAAATGGGTGGGGAACGGAGTGTGAGACACTTGGTAGTTTTGAACTTTGTTAATCGTACATTCAGCTAGTTTAAGCGATAAAATTAATCTAACCTTAAATTTTTGGTCCCCTAAATGTGTTTAGTCAGCTCATTAAAATGGGATTGATAAACTCGAGGTATTGTAGCACCTGTGTTTGATTGTGTGATAAAGTCTATGCGAATGTCTCAACATTACTGCGTAGGGATAATATATTTTTTCAGTGACTTCACATCAATCATTATGCTATATTCAGCACACAAACCAATTGAAGAACAATCGAACCAAAGCACTGGGGACTTCGGGGGAGTGATGCGGAAAAAGCCATTATATTTTACCGTGTTTGGGCAGCCCCAGATTATTAGTTGGGTCTTCCTGAAAAAAAAGTAACTGGGTTTGAAAATTATGTACGTACCTGGAAGATTTTAATCTGTCATAGAAGACAAGTATGAATTTGAAGAGGTTAATGCAATCTGAAAAAAAGAAACCTAGATATGATTTCTAGATTAGTTATTAAGGCATATACATTCAAACATTGTTAAGCCCCCGGAGTAAGAGTTGTACCCACAAGTGAATTTTGAGCTGGCCTTGAAGGAGTTGAAAAGACTTGAACCGTTCTTTTATCACAACACAACCAATATATTTTTATGAAGGTATCAATTACTTTGGATGTATAAAAATTATGAAATACTATCTGACAATATGTGAAAGTGGGTCCCATAGGTCTTCGACTGCTTTTATTAACGCAGGTGTAAAGTTAGGTACTCATTCACAGCTGGGTGAAGTCAGGGTACTCTGCGTGAATCTGGCCTCAGTACTAGTGAAAGGGATGCGCTAATTAAAATTGAGTAAAATATAAAGCATATTTTATTCAACATTAAATTTTTAAGTTCGTTATATCTTTTAAGTTTTCCAAAGTGAACCAGATAACAAACGCATATAATTTTTCATACTTTCATATAAAATTGTGTAGTTCCTACCATATTACTAAATTAGGGCAGTATAACAAAACCTCAGTGCTTTTGTAATAATGTTGTTTGAGTTACTTTGTCTAAACACGAACGGGAGTGGAAGTAGCCTAAAACGAAGGGAAATACAGTACCGCCTCTTTTCATATAATTTTACTTTCCAGAATTAATCATTATTCTTTTCCTTGGTAATGCCAGTATAGAAATATTCCGATTATTTATATTTTTTTTAATGAGTGTATCCGAAGAACTATCAAAATATTGCCTTGCATTAAACTCCTAAATTTAGGGTAAGAATTATTTTAATACATTGTCAGCACTTCTCATAATTGTTAAAGACCTTTGAATAATTTTGGGTTAATATTGACCTGTTGCAGCGTAACTTGATTTGGTGATTATTTTCTTACTATTTTTTTATTGCTGAGTTCGGATATGATATTAATTTCTTGAGCAAATGCTTCTTTTGGTAGATACTGTAATTAGTCCCCTAGGCTTGCACTAGTGGCATTATGTACTTTGTCTTTCGCAGTGATAAAATGGTACAGCAGCCCAATCCACACTCGATTTTATCCTCACTTCCCCCAAAGACGTAAAATTACACAATATCATTGTAAGTTCTTTCTGTTTATTATGCCGTAGGGTCTAAGTGTGGAGCCCTTGGGCTAGGAAGTTAGGTAAGCTTAAGTAGGTTTCTTTGCTAGGTTGGTGCAGTCTTCTAACAAAGCTTTGGCTGCTTGTGTTTCTTATCAACTAAGGTTAGGTTAGTTTTGATTGACAAATAACCTCATTTTAACACATTTTCCCAAACTATGACAGTGTCCACTACAAAACACATTGAAATTGCCTTGTTTTTCAATTAATTTTCTATGAAAAATCGGCGATGGGCCAGTTTTCAACAATTACCTAACTATGGCCGACAAATCGACATAAATGATGGTGAAATATTACATTATTTAAGTGCAAAAGTATTTGGGTCTATAAGCTAGGAGTAGGCTGTGGTAATAAGTTTCCTCAGAATAAGTACCCTGTACTGTATTGTATGTTGGTAACCTCGGAAGTTTAACGATATTTTCATGCTGAATTATGTCTGGTAGCTATTCTGTAACCTTATAAATAAGTGGTCACTGTCAGCCTTGTAATGGGTGTGACCTTCAGTGTACAAGTACAGTACTGTACATGTATTTGGGTTATTTCTGGTTTCTACTGTGCTTTGGGTTCCTTATTTGTTAAGGGCACATTAGAACTTTTCCCATGGATTTTCTCATGTATGTCTGTGCTCCAAACAGAATTACTGCAGTGAAATGCAACTATGATTAAATAATAATAAATAATGGTTGCCCCTCGTGTAACGACGATGGCTGGCTCAAGGGCCACCTAGGTGTGAATTTGTTTAAGGTGTAGAAGCTGTTGCCAACACAACAACCACACCCTAAATTAACGAGTTGCATGACCCAGTGTCAAAGAATACTGTAGTCCGAGAAGACCTTACAACTCGCCAACTGCACTGGCTAACCATTACCACAGATTATGATCTGCAAATCAATTAACATCCATGTTCCCAATTACTGCTGGGTAGACAGAGGCAAATGGCATAAATGGCATATAAGAATTGGCTTTGTGATTACTTTTAGAGTTTAAAGAGTTACGGACATTTCAGCTTTCATGCAGCCTCAGACTTGTTTCATTTAAAAGGTTTTGTGCTACTTTTATCTCTTGTGATTGTAATAACACCTTCAATTATTCTTTTGGTATGCCATCATTAATTTATACAGATCAATAATTATCAATAAGACTTGAACAAAGTAAAAGTGGATTCCATAGGCTTTGTTCATTAGGAAATGTTGATGCAGCACAGTGTATACTAAGTGTGGTGTACAAGGAGGCAGTGTGGCTGGTACTGCACTCAACTGCTTTCACTTTCCCATTGTAAAATTCTGTACCAACTTACAGTTGGGTATATTAGAGGTGCCCTGGGCATGAACCAGCAACCCTTAGGAGAGAAGGAGAGAATATAACTGTATCCATTCAGCATTGTTTTGCATTAATGATATACAGTATTGAATTATTATTTGGCACCTGTTTTATATCTCTTATTAGCATCATAATGTTATTTAAATCTTTCTGTAACTCCCTGATTAGGTGGAAGGTTGTTCCAAATAACCACAACTTGATGTTTGAAGGAGAATTTTGCAAATTTTGACAGAAATATTGGCTTCCAGAGGTTTAGATGATGTACTGTAATGAAATCTGTGTTTACTTTAGTGAATTTTTTTTTTGGGGGGGGGGCTGTTTAGGTCTTCTGAGTTTTTTAAAACTTTAGACATCTCAGTTGTGTGTCTGTGAAGTCTTCTATTAATCAATGTTCTCCTTAACCTCTATACACTGTATATTCTTGGCTCCCCATGCTAATTGTAGCATCTGTTCATTTTTATGATGACTTAGCTTATGTAGTACACATGCGGATATGCCCTGACAATGTAACCCATATTCAAACTCCCTATGATCAACTTTGAGTTTATGGCACCCACCCTAATCCCTAATGGGCCTAAGAACACATTTTAAGTCCCAGTTTCACTGCCTTTTTTGCCTTTTTAGATCCAAATAAACAAATGAGTTGAATTGGCAGGGGTTGGGTTGACGGGTGGTCGAGTTAACAGAGAGTCAAGTTAACAGAGGTTGAGTTTACAGGGTTGGGTTTGTGGGTTAAGTTGAGAGGGGGATGAGTTGACCAGGGGTTGAGTTGTGGGATTGGAATGACCAGGTTTTATTATTTTTTATTTATTTTTTATTTTTATTTTTTTATGGGGATAGTCCACCCAGGCACAGGTCATCAATCCACAACGGGGCCTGGGATGGGGAGGGTGGCGAAAAAATAAGAATAAAAGATATAAATTAAAGGAAAAAAGGGTATGTTAATCTACACCACAAGATACTGGAAAACCATCTTTTTGAAGTGAGACATTGTAAGAAAATGGAAACAGAAGAAAGCAAAACATTCCACAGTTTGGCTGTGTGTGGAAAGAAGGATGTAGTCTAGTACATTAACCGGTTATTCTAGTGTGACTGACATCCCCACAGAAACGGTGGGCACCACTAGCAAGACGAGTGTTACGAGCCCATGGCTTTGCCAGCGGTACACAGAATGCTAAATCCACAGAACATTGCCTGTTAAAGTACCTGTTAAAGAGAGTGAAGCAACATTGCAGTGAAGAGAAAGGGAAAATAGATTATTAACTAAAGGAGGAGAGTTAATAAGATGAAATGCTTTTAATTCGTCCCTCTCTAACAGTTGGACAGAAGAAGAGCCACCCCAGACATGAGAGCAGTGCTCCATGTTATGACGAATGAATTCTTTATAAACCTGAAGCAACTGCTCAGGAATGAAGTAGCTACGGCATCTGTATAACATTGACTGACCACCTTATACAGTACAGTACAGTATATCTTTACCTATTCTGGATGTGTTTAAAATAAATTGGGAACCTCCATGCTACAGTAACACTGTCCCACCAGCCAAAGAGGTTTTGTGAGAGGATTTGGCTGGCTGAACGGTCAGAAAAGCATGCCAAATCTGTTTGTTCAATTGATTGCATGTTCTGATCTTCATTTAAGTGTTTTGATGATAAAAAATGAGTCAAGATTACATTGAAATTTTTAATATCTTTTGGCAAGTGAGAAGCATGGGAGGTTGCAATAATAATCCAATGTCTAGACAATTCTCTTCTTCATACCGTGGTCCCTCGGTTAACGAGCACAATTCGTTTTAGAAGGTTGCTCGTTAACCGAAAAATTCGTTAACCGAAACCATTGTTTCAATGGGTTTTTGGGTAATTGGTTCCAGCTCACCGAAAATTGCCTAAAGTCAACAAAAAAAGAAGTAAAGTACACTAACTTTGAGGTGTGTATGTAGAAGGCTCCTGGATGATGATGATGATGATGATGATGATGGGAA